CCGCCCGAACAACGACACACTGTACTCGCCTTGTTTCGTGGATCTCTCACATCATGACATGGAGCTTGTGATCCCCGAGTTCGATCAACGCTACTGGGTCTTTGCCATGACGGATGCGTGAGTATGGTCACTATGTGGAGCTTCTTCGAGCTTGTACTGACATCACCAGCTACAGCAATAACTATGCGAATATTTCAAGCCTTCTGGGCCACAAACCAGGGAAATACATCCTGAGATATACAGAAGACGAGTTCGGATTTGATTCCGAGAATGTGGACAGGACCAGGTATGAGGCAGCCATCAATTCTCCCACTCCGTACGGGATGGTCAGCGTCAGAATCTTGGTCGACTCTGATGATCAAGACCTCCAAAAGGTCCACGCCTTCCAAGATCAAATCAAAATAAACGCGATACCGCGCAGTACAGGGCCCACCACTCCGAGACTGGATTTGGACATCTTTTCCAATCTACCATGTGAGAATGCACCAAAAGAGGAGCTAGCCGCAGCAACACTTCAACTTACCGCGGCATGGGCACCCTATAATCCTCCTGAGGTTGTGCAAGATAGGTCTTGAGTGGCGCAAGGCCTTGAAGCAGCCGGCTTACGAGATGGAAAGTTCGTTCAACTTCCGGATAGCGACCTCAGGGCTGCCGTTGAAGCTGCAGATGCCGGAGTAACAGCCTTGCATTCCTCGTACCCCACGTCTCTGGACCTGGGCAACAGCTGGTATGCTCACTGTCCGGAAATGATAGGAGATTATGCATCCTTTTACGCTCAGAGGTACCACATCGCTGTGGTCGGCTATCTGGCCCTTACCCGCGACCAAGTCTTATACCCGAGACTGAAGGCTATCGGCGTCTCGAAGAAATTGAAAGTATAAACTGGAATGGCCTGGCTGTTGTCATTCTCAGCTAGGCCGCGTCTAGTGCCAACTGGGTTTTGGAGTCTCACGGCCTACGGAGCAGACCTCTTATTGATTGCCAACTCTTTAAATCGCTACGCTTTGGGTGACCGTAGTGGGATGGTACTTGAGGACGGAAGTCCTCTTGCGCAAAGGGATGGCAAATTCTACATCTTACTACAGTCGAGGGACAGCCCACCGCCAGCCCAATGGAGATGCAAGTAAGTTATCACTCCCCTCAGTGAGGGTGGTTTGGCATTTCCGCTTCAATGTACGAAGTTGTCACTAATCAACGAAACGAGCTGGCTTCCTTTGCCCTCGGATCACCACACCTTTTCGTTGATAAGTAAGTGTAAACCTGGCCGAAATTCCGTTGTACAATGAGTTCACCCTCGAAATAGTGCATTTGTACGGACCGACGGATGCTATGGGAGATGGTTCTTATACATATCCTATCATTTCACGGATTGACGCTATTATTTCATAGATCAGTTGTTTCGGAACGTGTACCTAACCCTAAGATTTACTCCGAGGTATTACTACCTTCATATTGTGGGCCATAGTATTCGCGTTATTGGTGAAGAATCTATGCAGCTTCATTTTGACATCTAAATCTGAATGAATAATCATGAGCTGCTCGCGAGAAAGAGCGTCTAATTCCAGCGCTCTCAACGTCCGATATCGTCTGTTTTGCATTCAATCTCAGATGCCTGGAGAAAAATATGGGAGTTTTATGTCCTGAATGTCCGAGATGTAACTCGTTGTCACCTTGCAGCATAGTTCTTTGACGCTCATGGACACTTTCTGCGCCAGGTTAGTGGTGGAATATTGGTAGATTCGCGATGTTACACCACACAACCAGGACAATAAGATTTACTATGACCATGGGAACTTGTGGCCACCTGACTTGATTTGCCTATGTACTTAAGGCTTCCTGTATGCGGCTCCCAGGATTTGATCACGATTAAGCGGGAATGGTCACCAGCAATGCTGCTGTCCCAAGGTTCTTTCGAGACGCTTCGATGAAAATGCGTCCCATAGTCCGTCCAACTTGGCAGAGGGTCAAAGTGCAAATGAGGAGTCCCACATCCAGGGTTGGGCAGGATCATCGAATCCTAGGTATGTTTCTACGGACTCGGGAAGGCGTTGTAAGCTGGGATTCTGTGTAGAGCTCGAATCAGCGAAATTACCTGCAGAGAAATCAAGGCCATCCTTCAGAGTGAAGTGTACATCACTACCGTAATCTGAGACGTGAGGGAAAGGGACTATCCTATCCCCATCTAGAGGTTGAAGAATATGAGACTGTTCTTCTCCACTTCTGGAATGTTGGCTTAGAAATTCAGAGGCCAACGAATTGCTGAAACAGTCCTCAGGTGTTTTGCCGTCGGGCTCCCTGATGCATTGAGCTCCCTCAGTGTTGTTTGTTTCTTCGCAACTATACCTGGTTCCTGCCACGGCCAGCTCAATGGTAGAGTCTGGCTCCGAAGCTTCACCTGATATCATGGTTTTGATTTCCTCTTTGGCTATTACAAGCATCAATTCCTCGAGAATTCCTGCATTTTGGTCCCACACGGGGTTCCTCTTGACGAAATGTCGTGGATTCTTGATAAGTCGAGCAATACCTTGCTTGCATGCCAGGACTATATCAGCGTTGATATGTTCAATAACGCCAAAATACCCAATGCCACTCCGGATGTGAGACAATGTGTCCCAACGTGGGTAATTGCTGGCGTCTTGCTTAGCTCTCGCAATATTGAGGCGAACCGATCAAGATGTGTGGTGCGCATTGCCGAATGCCAGCGTTGTGATGAACTTGTGTGGATGAAGACATCGTCAACACTGACGGAGTGGATAGAGTTAGATCTTGGATGACCATCGTCACGGGTGTCACATTGACTGCTCTCAGGGTTCTGGCCCGGAGGTCGATGATACTGTATCAAGGGGCGATGTAAGAGGACCTGGAAGTTATCGTAAGTGGCTCGTGGTGTCAAAGCCTGCATAGACTAAATGCGACAGGTTGTCGTTTGCGTAGGGTTGACGCCTGGAAGTCCCCATGTGTCGAGCTTTGGTTCGGCGGCTAGAGATTGTTCCCACCTTTCCAATCTATCGTGCGCCGCTTTTATGCGTTTTACGATATCTTGAATATCGCCATCTTTGTGAAGATATATGTGTCGAATAACAGGTGACATGACCTGATACAATTCAGATTTCAAGATGTGATAGGACATTGTGGTAATGGAGCAAGGAGACCCTAGGACTGAGATTTGAGCTGGGAGCTCACCGGCACCTGCGAATGATTCGCCCTCTAGTTCTGCAGGATCACCGACTTCGAAATCAGTCTCTCTGATCAGACTAGGCTTGCCATATGCTTGTGAAGTGTAGCTACCAACAAATTGTCGTATATCAGTTCTAGGGAGTCGCTCTTCGGTTTATTTGGAAGGACTCACCCATCAGAGACAAAAAGCATCCACCAAAGTCGCCGGCGTGTATGTCTTTCCACCTCATCCACTCTACCCCACGTTCTTTCTTGGTGCAATCCCTCGGCGTGAGCTACACGCAAACTTGCACCCGCCAACAGAAAAGCCTGTTGAGGGCATCCCGCGATTAAGTAGTAGCTTCCCAGAAGGTATTGAAAGGTGATAGAATGCAAAGAAATGTCTTGGATGCTGAGGAGATTTTCATAGTCATCTTCGGTCAAGAATCGTGCTCCGATGATCAGAACGATTAGGATCAATAGCAGCGAGCACAAATCGCCATCAGTGGCACGCCGTGATCGGAGAAAGCATTCAAGCTGTGCTCGTAGCGTTGGCTCATGGAAGACCAGCATATACCAATGCATGTACTTTATATACGCGTTGAAGAGCAACAGGGAAATATTTTCGGGCGGAAGGCCCATACCCAATACCTGGCGAAGTGGCACAACGGTGTGACTAGGACGACCGTTGCGAAATGTGCAGACGTTTCCCCCGGGAAGAGCATCTACATTCCTTGAGGCGCTAGATCGCGCTCCTCAAGACTTGAATAGCTACCTGGTCCGTTAGGAGCATCCTAATCATATTTTGAGAGAGACTTTTGAAGTTTTGCTAACCTGCTGAATGATGTGAAGAGAGGATACCCTATCTTCATGCCCTGATGAGACCACTTCGAGTAGAGTGAGCCGTTGCTGCTCTGGTGAACAAGAATTTTGGGACCACGGTGATTTTCCTGCTGTAGGTTCCATTTCGTGAAGCCGATTTTCCTGCCGGGGGCCGATGGCTGCTAACGAGGATCGTGCATCAAGTTTCATCCGTTTACTCCTGTGTCTGAACTGAACGTCAAAATACTGCGAGTTCTTGCACAAGATGGAGGGAGCTTACTTAGTGCTGATTGTCGGCTCTATGCACATAGCTTTGGAACGGATACAGAGTTGGCATGGGCGGCCTTCATCACACTGCTCCAAAAATCAGATCTGCCCACATGGAGCTGTTTCTGGGTGCAAGTTTGAACCTTCAGCTTTTGCTGCCTACATCGGTCGCATGCGAGGCGGACTCTGCGGCTGCCCATATCTGTTTCAGCTGCTGGCACCGATTCTGATGACTTTGAAAAGAAAGAAGGTGAATGACAAGCGGCTCTCCTTGCGGGGTGGATAATCAGGAAGCGTTGAAGCCTGAACGGGTTTTCAAGTCTGTGGACGGTCGCGAGAACGCCCCTGCGTGGACGCGGACCTCAGGAGCCTCGGTAGTGGACATTCGACTTTGAGTGAGGTTTGGGTCAGAATGCTCCACCGGAGAATCAAGCTTCAGAGCCGCCAGTTACGCCACCGTAACTTCGACTACTCTTTATTTCAACCCCTCAAGCTGACAGGGTGGGCCAGTAAAGCAATTTGAGAAGACGGTCGATTGCGCTCCCGAGTTGTCGATTGCTCTTTGCTCCACAAGAGGTGACCTGTGCCTCCAGTTGATACGCCACGCTTCAAGCTCACAAGCCCAAGCCTGACCGCATGAGAGTGGCTGGACGATTACCCACATATACGACCTTGACGAACAACTTCACCATATACTATATGCAATCTTGACGTCCGAATTGCATGTATTCTCACTTCTCCACTGGGTTGTAACAATGTGGCTTCTTGACACGGGCTTCTTCCAGTTGGAAGAATTCATTGGGGACCAGATTCCGAAGTATGCGATTCTTTCACACACTTGGGACGAGGAAGAAGTCTCCTTTCAAGACATGCAAGACTTCAACCGAGCCCATTCTAAAGCAGGCTTCCAAAAACTTCTGGGGGTATGCAAGAGAGCGAAGGCCGATGGCTTTCGGTGGATTTGGATTGACACCTGTTGTATCGACAAGTCGAGTAGTGCGGAACTTTCAGAGGCCATCAATTCGATGTACAAATTTTACAACGACGCACAGATCTGCTACGTCTACTTGGCTGACGTCCAAGACAATCGCATACTTGATCTTAGTCAGGACCAGATCTTCCACCTACTTGGCGGTAGCAGATGGTTTAGCAGGGGCTGGACTTTACAAGAACTGATTGCACCTCCGATTGTCGAATTCTACTCGGCCGGGTGGCTCGAGATTGGTACCAAGCTGAGCCTGATCAAAGATATCTCTCTTATCACCGGAATCGATGAAGGAGTACTCCGAGGCACGAAAGAGCCAACAGATTTCAATGTCGCATGTCGCATGTCTTGGGCTGCAGGTCGAGAAACGACAAGGCTCGAGGATAGGGCCTACTCACTTCTCGGCATATTTCAAGTGAATATGCCTCTTCTCTACGGAGAGGGGTCTCGGGCATTCCGAAGATTACAGGAGGAGATCATGAAGCTAACCGAAGACTACACGATATTTACTTGGACATGGCCGAGCCAATCTGACGAAACAACTCGTGCTGCACAGTACTGTGGTTCATCACTCGGTATACTCGCATCGAGCCCAGATAGATTTGACCCTCAAATGTTCCAATCTTTATGCCACCAGCCATACTCCTCATTCGAAAAGTCAACGAAAAGTACCCTTTTCGAGCGTCTGGTTGTGCAAAGTCCATGTCCTGGAGCCTCGTTGGTACCGCCCACGCTTACTAGCAGAGGTCTTTCGATCAATGTCCTCGTTATCCGGAAACCCAAAAGCCCCCAGCAAAGTCAAGAAGAGCATCTCTGTCTGAGTTGGTACAACTCAGCAGAAGAGTCGTTACTTCTGTGCCTCTCACTAGCGCCTGCCATCCAGCCGACATTGAATGATGAGCATCCCTTGTTCACGAGGCCGCGATTGGGCTCTTCCCGCTGGTTGTACTTTTTGCACATGAAGGATCTCAAGAAAGCAAAGTTTGAATATCGCACGATACACTGGATTCCGACCCCGAAGCCCCCAGTCCCACACGAACCAAATAATCAGCCGGTGGTGCTTTCATTATCAACCAATGGGGATTGTCGTATTACTGCGCATCTACTTCCGTCAGCCTCAGTCAGCCTTGGGACGAATACCTTCAAGCTGGGTTGGTTGCTGAGGTACTTTCGCACTCCTGCCGCTCGTGCCGTGTTTGCGGTTGATTGCACAGTCTCCCCGGAGCTGACAGCGCATTTTATCATTGCTTTTGGGTTCGTTGGACGACGGATACCAATATGCGGCATACTTCAAACTGATTTGGTGGTCGATGGAAAGTCAGAAGAGCCATGGGGTTTCATAAACAATGTTTTAAATCGGAGAAATGAGGCGAAAGCTTATGATTTAGCTTATGCAGACTTACGGCCCGCTCTTATCAAAAGTGTTTCAGAACAAGGTAAGTATAACGCATCCAAGGGCGTCGACTGGCTTACTAGATTTTCAAAATTACTCGATGAAGCGAAAGATAGGGCGGGACAGAAGTTTGATGGTGGCACAATAAAGGTGGCAGCTAGGCGCCAATTTGGTCAGGTATTCTCCTGTGAGGTCTGAACTAGTAGGAATCAATACTAACATGACTTAGGACACTGAACAGTACGACCTGGAGGTCACTGTACAGTATCAACTTTAGCCTTGGTGATTGACAATATACGATGAATAACTCACTTATACATCTCAATCCTATTTAACCCTTCAGCAGATGCGATTATACTTATCGAACTGTTCCTAAAGGCGAAGAGGGACCTCACTAGCGACGAACGCAACTATAAAATGTAGAAGTTATTTATTAGAGATATACCCTAAACCTATTAGATTTCTTAGTTATAGATTCTTTATTATATAGGTATGATTATAAGAGAGATTGATTATTAGGGATGAGGATAGAGCGAAGGGTTTGAGGGGTTTAAAGAGCTTTAGATAATATAGAAGGCTTAAGAGTCCTGATATTACTATCTACCGCCGCCGTCGTTATAAAGGTATCAAGGATACCTTGTTAGAGATAGGCAGTACTCAGCGATAGATATATTCCGTGGTAATAAGTATCCTTTTACATCTAGTAGTGATAAAGACTTATAATATAAGGAGAGGATACTTCTCGGATACGAGAAGCATACTTTTCTCATACGGACTATGTACAGCCTAAAGTAGCTTAGCGCGGTCCGGCTTAGCGCGATCTTAATTATACCTAGCTTCTCGGTCCCGTTTATGATATTACCCTCCCCTTTTGGCTTCTTATCCTTAAGAGGCCCGTATAGGTAGTATTTCCCTCTTAGTTAGTGAGGCTCGCGTACGAGTAGCTTACGTCCTATATACGCTACTCGTCTACTATATGAATGTACTGTCTAAATGGTGCGTATAGGGGTGCACTCGCTATATGAATACATTATGTGAATGCGCTGTTAAATGTGCCTATTAGGTATATGCGTGAATATACTATGTAAACTGTTATATAAATCGCTATATAAATGGCTATTATACCTATTGAGCGTAAATCGCTATTAAGCCTTATTGAACGCGTATATAAATGCGTAACGTGAATGCGTAGCGTTAATGCGTCATAATAATAGTATAGTCGTGAATAGCCTTATTATGTCCTAATGTAGTTGTGAGGGTTTGGAAAGAGTTCTATAACTAGCTAGCCAACCTAGTAATAAGGAGGATAAATCTAAGGAGAGAGAAGGAAGGAATAGCTGTCCTTCCTTTCTCCTTATATCCTCTAACGTACCGTAAGGAGGTAACTATTATCCTCACCTCCTTACTCCTTTCCTTACGTACTTATTCTAGCTCCTTACCTTCCCTTACGTACTTATTCTAACTCCTTACCTTCCCTTACGTACGGTGTCTTAGCTGTTAGGACTTTATATCCCTTACACCGTATGCGTCTTAACTAATTAGGAGGTAGTATTTCGCCTATACATTATATAGGTAAATCTTAACTAATCAGGAGGTAGTATTTCCTGGCGTTAGTCTTAGCGCTGGCTCACCAGAACCGAGCCTTCTCCTGGGTTCAACCTATCACAGATAGCGTCGTATTCTATAATATCTATAGCGATATACGTATACATATATAATCTATGTACTCCTTATATATCTATCTTATATATTAAGAAGTAGTGGTTTCTATAGGTTCTAATAGGCTATCCTAAGATAGTCTATATATAAACGTTAATAGTACTTACCTTTACTCCTAACTCTACTATAAGGAGTTATAAGATAAAGTTCGCTTACACTCTATTATTAAGTAGTATACGTATCTCCCTTAGTCTAGCTTCTATCTAGATTTCTATATTTATTATGAGAGCTTAGTAGTACTTTAGCTCCTTATTAGGGTTAGTACTTAGTAAGCTTAGCGTAATAGCCGCACTCTTCGCGCTATACTCTAGTTTTTTATCGCGTCCTTTATACCTACGTCCTACTTATAAGGCTTTAATCTATACTAATTAGCCTTATATCCCTTTTTATTATAGTTATAGTATTCGCCTATAAAAGATAAAGTATCCCTCTTCGAGACGTCCTTCTTTTCTTCGCTTTATTATCCCCTTTTATATAACTTATTTACGTATATTATGCGAATTATATACGTATTAGTACTAATACGCATATATAACTTATCTTAATATAAGGTCTATATCCTTTACTTAATAACGTTTTTATACCGTTAGGCTAAGATAAGGATCTATTCTCTTAATATAATTTCTTTATTTTTATATATAATGAGCGCGTAAATCTTAGGTAAGAGTATATTTAGTAGTACTTAGACTATATATTTATCCTCTATTATAGGTAGAATATCTATCTTAATGTTCTTAATATAGCGTAGTAAATCCCTCACTAACTAATTTAGCTATTATTTTGTCAACGCTAGTCTAATGAGTACTTTACTCTTATAAGTCGTAGGATCTATAATAACGCTCTTAAGGAATACAATATAGTTATTCTAAGTATCACGAACAGGACCGGAGGGTTGGGCACAATCAAGATCGCGCCAAGCCGGACCGCGCTAAGCCACTTTAGGCCGCACACAGTCCGCATGAGAAAAGCATGCTTCTCGCATCCGAGAAGCATCCTCTCCTCATACTATGAGTTTATGTTACTATAGGTGTAGAAGGATACTTATTACCACGGAATCTGCCTATCGCTGAGTACTACCTATCTTCAATAAGGCATCCTTAATACTAAGTTTAGAATTTAGTATATAGGCGTATCTACGCGTTATCTATCTTATTATCTAAAAAGGTTATAGTGAGTAGTATATATTACGTATACTTATCCTTAGCGATCTCTAGTATTATCTAAAAGAGCTTCTTCTATCTAAGGTCGTATTAGCGGAGGCTTTCCATTAACTTCCTATTAAACCTTAGAGATAGCGTAAGCTTAATATATTTCGAAATACTAGAGTCTTCTAGGATTAAAGAGCTTAAGGATTACTTATAACTTAGTAATATTATACCTATAACTTCTACGAACCTTATAGGTTCTTTCCCTTTAAGCTTATCCTCTATTACCCTAAGTTCTTCTCTTTAGCGTTTATTAGCGACCTTTCTCTTAGTCTCTTTATATTAGGCTATTAGCTCTACCTCTTCAATCTTAAGAGTAGTGAGACTCGCGTATAAGTCGCTTACTTCCTACCGAGGATAATATTAGTCTTCTTACTAGTCTTTAACGAGATCTTAGTTATCTTAGTCTTATTATTACTATTCTAGGGTCTGTGGAATATCGCCATTTAGGCGTATGGCCTAATTAGGCCTAGCGTCTTATCACGTGACTAGTTAACGCTACTAGTCTATACTAGATCACGTGATATAGGCGGTGGCGTTAAGGGTGGCGTTACTATAACGTGATTGATTACTAATAGTGATTAGAAATCTACCTTCGAGGTACTTCTATCACTATCTAGTAGTGTTTCCTTTGTCTATATAAGAGCGTTCTCTCCTCTCAGATAGTTAACTTAACTAAGCTTCTTAACAGTCACGTACATTACCTAAAAGGGTACGATCCTATGAGCCAATCTACTCTATGTCCTCCGAACAGGGTCATACTTAACTCGCCTATAGATCGTATATAAGGAGCTATTAAGCCCCCTTTTTTATCGTTAGTCTATCTAATCTTAAGAGATACTATAAGAATATTAAGGATGCCTTATTAGAGATAGGTAGTACTTAGCGATAGATATATTCTATAGTAATAAGTATCCTTTTATATCTAGTAGTAATAAAGACTTATAGTATAAGGAGAGGATACTTCTCAGATGCGAGAAGTATGCTTTTCTTATACGGACTGTATACGGCCTAAAGTAGCTTAGCGCGGTCCGGCTTAGCGCGATCTTAATTGTGCCTGGCTTCCCGGTCCCGTTTGTGATAAAAGGGCTCCTTTTTTCCATCAGGTGCGCACCGGTTACGCTCTACCTGCTCGACGGGAGTTCGTTGATCAAACTCTCTAGAACCCTTATAATGATTTAGCCTCTATTGTAACATCATTAGTATCAATTGAAACATCATTCTCCGTATGGTGTCGGATCTCGTTGGCAGCCTGGACGATAACGTTATCCCGGTAATGCCCTTCCCTAAAGCGTTTGTGGATAGCTTCTTCTTCGGCATCCTCTAAAGTAATGTTGTCGCCAAATATCTCAGCGATATCTTCGAGAGACCTTCCCTTGGTCTATAAGAAGTTAGCCATGCAATCTCCGGCTATGAAAGTAAAGCGTAGGATGAAAAAAATGTCATCTCGGGAAACACTCACCTCTGGCCAGTAAAACCAGGCGACGAAGAAGAAGAAAATAGTGACAAAGGCACCGACAAGATAGTAATACCCGTTGATATGGGCAAAGGCAGTGGGCGCAGCCTGCAAGAAGATAATTGTGGCAATGAAAAGACCAGAGATGGAGATGCCGATACCTCGGGCTCGAAGTGGAGTCGGGAAGAGTTCCGCGGCATAGATGTAGGAGGTAGCATCCACCGAGACACAGAAGCAGGCGATGTGCCAGAACAGGAAGAAGACGGCGGCGCCGGCAACGGAACGGGACTGGCCATTGTTATTGTACACAACGACGGTCGCACAGGCTCCCACAAGAGCGGAAACGGTGCCCGCAAACCCGAACACTAGACCCCCAAGATCAGCCCCAGATTCCTCTTTTAATACTTTGGAAAAGACACTTACTCAAGAGTCTCGTGCGGCCTATTCTATCCACAATGAGGGCGTTGATGAGATTGCCCCCAGGACAAACCGAGATCCAGCCGGCCTGAATCAAAAGCTGATCGACAGTGCTGAAGCCGAGTCCTTTGTACAGAATGGGTCCGTAATCTGCAAAGGGGCAAATATTAGTCCCAGGATGCCACGTTTGTCAGATGGCGTGGGGTATAGAAGCGTACTGTTGATGACGAGAGTAAATGTTCCTTGAGCCGCAAACATGACTCCGAACCCTACCACACATCTCTTGAACAAATTCGGTCGGGTGAAAAAGGCACTGAGGGGAACATCGTCTTTCATCTCCTGGGCCGTCTGGGCGGCGAGTAGCCGAAATTCCTCCTTGACGGCGACTTCGTGTTGGTCATCTTTGACCTTGATACCACTGTCGTGAACTCTGCGGAAAGCCTTGAGGGCTTCGTCTTTGCGACCATTGGCAAGGAGCCAACGAGGCGACTCTGGAACAAATGGGAGGGCGATCATCAACCCCAAGGGCCAGCACATCTGGAAGCCCAGGGGCCCTCTCCACTGGTTACCACCGTGGACAAAGTAGAAGCCGACTCCGATCCAACTGGCAGATGTATAGCCAATGCAGATCATGACTCCGTGCAATCCGACGAGAAACCCTCGCAGGTTGGTAGGAGAGACTTCGCTCTGGTATAGCGGGACTAGGCCGACCAAAGCACCTGAGCAACGACCAGAGTTAGCTACAAGGAGGTCCTTGAAGAAAAACGAAAAAACAATTGAAGACTTAGGTGTGCCATACCGACGCCGATTCCCGTGATGAACCTCGCAACGATAAACATGGCAACGTCGACACTCCCCGTCTGCAACGCACTACCGACGAGGGAAAAGGTGCCACCGATAAAGAGGGCCCGTCTGCGCCCTATTTTGTCGGGGATCCATAGGGATGAGAGGGAGCCAAAGAGACCGCCAACTTGAAATAGAGCGTTTATGGCACCCTCGAGCTGAGTTGCGTTAGATGCCGTATCCAGGCCCATGTAGGACAGGAAACTCGGCTGTCCGAGGGTAGTTGAGATGATACTGCTGCAGTAGCCATATGTCAAGGACCCAAGGGCCACTGCGAGGATAAGCTAGAGAGCGAGCAGTCAGTGGATTACGGTCAAGCTTTGCAAGCACGAGGGCTGGGTCGTAGCTTACTCCGATCTGGAATGCAGACACCATCTGGGCAAGGTGTCGTTTTGGGTGTTGCTGAAAGATGTAAGATGTAGGTACCACGAAGTTCCACGAAGGTCTCTTTTTTGGGGGGGGGAGCTGAGGGAATCTGTGACGATCAGAAGGACAACATAGAATGTATATACACAGTAAGACCGTTCGCTACCGGCAGCACCACAGCCGACTCACTGGGGCTGACTGGGGCCGGAGACCAAAGACCGAGCATATTCCCCAGAGTGGAGCTTGACACAACATCCGAAATCGCAGGTCGCCATTTGGCTCCCCTTCCACCATCTTATTGCGTGAACGAACCGGCAAACCGGGAGCATTGGATAGGTATTGACTTCTGATTCGTAGGAATAGGTTCCACCTCTCGAAAGGGGGCGAACCCCCCGGCCCCCGGCCCCCCCCCCTTTTTTTTAAGCGAGGGAGCGACTCGGCAACTACGCGGTTTATCGGGCCTACAATCGCAAGCTTCTTTCTCACCCCCAGTTTCCCCCAGAAGCGAAACTCCTCAAATGGTCTGGAGAAGGACGCTCCTTCAGGACCCACCGAGTTCCCGGGCTGTGGTTGGACGTAACATTCGGGGGTATAACGCCGATATTAGTTTTCATGGCTCTCCCCCAGATACTGCTATTCCGCTCTTCCCCACAGACCAAGAACAAGGACACTCCACCAAAGGAGCTTCCCCACTCGGAACCGGATCAGAGGGACGAGTTATGCGGCTCTCGAGTCACCAAGGGAAACGGAGTAAGAAAGCGTATTCTCTGCGACCAGGGGAAACTCGAAGCAAAAGAACTTCGAACACAACCAAGAGATCTGGCAAACTGTAGGTTCGGAAAAGCGGAGTATCGCGACGTCGCCGGGTCGCCACATCGCGACAGCAACTCTAGCTCCAGCCCAGAAAAAGTCCTCCCTCCCTATCCACATGTGATAATGGCAGTACCCTCTATAGTGTCTTTCTCGATAATTCAACGGACTGCCACATATAAAATTTCTTCTGATCAAGACCAGCCGGATCCATATTTTATGACTTGTTTGCCCAAGGGCCGGTAACGTCCTGGTCGAGCTTCGAATCATTGGAGAGCATAGACAGTACGGGAAAATGCCAATTAGTATAGGTACCACGACCGAGAATCATGCCATCTTAATATGGAAACCCTTTGAAATGAATCGTCACATACCGGTATAGTACCAAGTAATGACCTATTTACATGCGAATGTCCTCAATTAGCGTGGAATTGTTACCGGAGTGTACGATCCACTTCCCCACCCAGAAGGCTCTTCAATGAATCCCCTTCATTATTTTTTATTTCCTCCGTCCGCTTCTGGCGGCGACGAGTGGAGAAAACGGACATTCTCCGATCCTCCGATGACAGACCTTGAGCCTCAGACTAGGCCGAGGCTATTCAAATCAGAAGATATTTGGCATATGGTCTTCATGTCAGATGGCACGGACGGATAGCTTCCCGCTCATGGTTGACCTACCTTGTCGGGGGCGGGGACGGCTCCGATGCCCGACAGGATACTCCGTACACTGAGCGAGTGCAGTGTCTATGGTAATGTGCTGAGCCCATAGTGACGGCCATCCTAGCAAATCTCTTTCCCTGTGTTTGACGGGTGAAGGAGGAGCACGACCAGAATATAGTGCTATATCTGGAGAGGATGCCTCCCATTTAATCCATTCTTCTTCTACCTCTACCTACGGTATGAGAGGGAGGGAGAGAGACTTTCATTCTCTAGAGGATAGAACCGTTCCCGTCGCGGTATCTTCTGCAGTCCAGGATCTCTACCTTGAAACATTGAAGGATGCCCCTCCACACGCAATGGTCTCAACCGAGCGAACCATTAAAGGCGCATTAGATCGAGCGAGAGATATTGGGCAGCTACATGGCACTCAAATATTAATAAGTGGAAGTCTACATCTGGCCAGTGGAGCTCTTTGCCTGTTAGTGGACGATGACGACGGTAGCCTGTCGTGAAGTTCCATCAGGACTCGGACCTGTCTTTAGTATAGACCGTGTCTATGTGCCCGTTCTTTGAGCTCCCTAGAAACATACCTTCCCGCCCCTGGCATGAAATATATGGGAGAATCTTGGAATTCTTTCGCTCGCTCTTAGGCGGCCAACCTTTCCTACCACTTCCCGAGCTCAGAGAGTATGACCGCACGGTACCGGAAGTAGATACGCTTGTAAAACCTTTTGGGTGAGAAGGTCTGGTACGCTTGCATGAGGGTCAACACCTCGCCAGTCCTTTTGAAGGATTTTAGATAGCTTCTATAAGTAGAATCTTTCCTCATAAATTTTATATTCCTGAATGCCTTGAGATACTTGACACCTCTTGACGTTAGATTAAGCTCAGTAAAAAGTATCCCAGAAATCCGAATTATGCCGTCTACCCCAGCCTTTGATCATCCGACTTGGTTTAGCCGCTTGAAAGAGCATGACATTGTCATCGTGGGGGGTGTATATCTCCCATTTCGGAGGCTTATTGTCCTGCGCAGTGGGTGCTGTGTGTTGGACTTGTGGAGACGCGTCTCCATTTGGTGTGCCCCGGCGAGCAAATGAGGTCCAATAGTAAACCATTAACTTAGAGAGAGCGAGTTGGCAACCGCTCAATGATTTCGCTTCACCCGCCCCACCAGAAAAGCCGAGGAAAATGTACGGGAGCTCTAGGGTGTGGGCCGAGCCGTATGGAAAAGAAACCTCTGGCCACGGACATGGAGTATCGGGGACATCGAATTCATAGGTATAGACCTCTGGACAATAAGCTGCGAGCAATCTCACAGTCCGTCTTCCAGCGGTAGAGATGAGCCCTGCATCTCCAACAACAGCTGCAAGGGCTCTGCTTGGGTTGCTGTTGACGGCAGCTGGAATAGGGTACAACGACACAATATCGGGAATGGCGCTCTCAGGGATAACGATCCCGTTTAGGTGTAATTTGTTAAGAAGGTCAATCGTCGTAGCGACAGTCTCGAAGTAGTTATTGGCCGGCACGATCCTTCCTGAACGGAGCTCAATCATAGCTTGGAACCAAGTAAATTCATCGGCATTGACCCCAATGAGAACGGGGATATGGTGAAAATCGCCCCTCGAAAACCTACCTCGTAGGTTTCTAGGGACGAGACTTCCATCCTCCATCAAGCCGAAAGGAAATCTGCTGATGCCAAATACTCCTTCCTCGATCTCATCAGCAGCCATGAGGTCCGCTGTCGGTATCAGGCGGAGCTTCTCCGACGTCTGACCTTGTTCTGTACATCCGGCGGCAGAAGCAAGAGCAATTCCGATGGTCTCAAGCTTCTCAATGGTTGGGAACGTCATGGCCGGAGGCGAACCGCCGCTCTCAATAATAGCCTTGTGAAATAGGCCGCGCGAAGACGGCATTGTCATATGAGCCAAGAGGCTGGCTCCGCCGGCCGACTGACCCATACAGGTGATGTTGGTCACATCACCACCAAATTGAGAAATATTTCTTCTCACCCAAACCATCGCTAGCTGCTGATCCATGATGCCGTAGTTTCCGGCTAGATGGCCCTCCCTATTAATGGCCGGGTGCGAAAAGAAACCGAAACAACCGACTCGGTAGTTGAAAGACACAAACACGACATCTCCGTCCTTGACAAGGCTGGCAGGGTTATAGTCATTGCTCGCGCCAGATGCAAATCCGCCACCATGTATCCAAACCATGACGGGATGTTTCCCTTTATGAGTATGATAATCTTTCACTGGTCTGAACACGTTGAGATACAAACAATCTTCGCTACCGCCATTCGAACCAAAGCCTGGGAAGCACGTCGTTGACTGAGCGCAAACAGAGCCGAATCTTCTTGCTTCTAGCGGGCGATCCCACGGCTCCGGCTCCGTAGGTGGCTGCCATCGAAGTGAACCAACTGGAGGCGCAGCATATGGCATGCCTAGAAATTTCTGCATCCCATCGTCGACGAAGCCCTGGACGGGGCCCATGAGACGTCTGGACGATGTTCGAGCTTTGAACATCGTCTGTCGCAATGATACTTTGATTGGTGGAGATCTGGAACCCTAAATCAGTCATGCTTGACCTCTAGTTTCTGGCTTCGATGGTCGTGATAACAGAAAGTGTGCACTGTAGTGCGAGTTATCAAAACGGCGGTCTTGAGGGGATCTTTTTCATTTCCTGGATTCAAGCTCAGGCAGTTGATGCTGTGGCCTTGAAGGACTTGAACTTATAAGTTACAATGTGGCGTCCCAGGCTTTGATCAGACAATTCGAGCGCATGAGTCAGTCGTCAGATTTGGAGCCCACACAAGCTTCCGCAGCCCGCTTGGGGAGTTCCGTTTGTCAGGGGAAATATTATTGCCCTCGTCCGCACTTTGACGGCTTAGATCCGGATCAAGTCGGTCCAGTGTTTCTCTACGTCTTCGGCTGGGGAAATCCTCGGTGCACCTACAATAGAGCAAATTGAGCTTCGAAAAGAAGCCAAACAGAGTCGTTCCGTTTTGTGGCCACGGAGCGGGACGGATGTAGATTTGGCTAGAACCAAGGAAGGGCCAGTTCGTGAGATTCATTGACATATCCGACCTGTTTTTTCCGTTCCAGTCCAAAACTTCTGTTCCGGAATCGCGCTAGTCTTCCGTGTTCATCGGCTTGAGCAGCCTAATGAGTACACATTGGCCCCCGAAACTCCTAGTCCTATCTCACTTCAAAGGAGCATCCTGCCAGCAGTTAACGACCACGTAATTAGAAGGGTCCAGCAAACTTTCATGCCCTCTCGTAAATAGTATACAGGGTCACCTTGAGCTAACACCCAAACCAAGTTTATAGAGTTCTTAAAGGTCTCCTTGTAGTCTCTCCGTCGTATTCGACACAGTTGCCATTCCGAGACTCAAGTTCTGACTTACTATGGTTAAGTGTTCCTAATATTGCTCGCAACCGGTTGTCCTATAAGTTACAAAACTAGTCACTGTCTACCTGGTAAATCAAACATAGCGTGAAGCTTTACATCGCATGCCACTTACATATAGTCAGTGTAGCCTCTAACAAGTAGCTTCTCGTCCATGCCGTGGTCCTTTTGTTAGTAGGGTAGGAAGGTTGGGGACCGGGGGCGGGTGGGGACCGGGGGCGGGGGATATCCGCCCTCATCTTTGTTTCCGAAGACCGAGTCTAACTAATCGGCTTGTGTTCCGACTATCGGTGAGAATATTTCCTCTCATGGTCCCCCTCTTTGTTGGTCCCGACACCCCGGACTCCATGTTGTTACTCCGCCATCTGCAACAGGCCTTAATTCAAAGCTTGAAATCTCAGAGAGCTGCGCCAGAGATATGGAGTCACACAGGACAAAGAGACTCAAGGTCAACGTTGCATGCGACACGTGCCGCAAGAGGAAAACCAAATGTGATGGCCAACAGCCCAACTGCTGCCCATGCCGGCTCAGAGGTAGGAGGTGCACCTGGGATCGAAGCTGCGAACATATAGAAAACTCTACATCTGCCCCGCGCACTAAATTGCCTGAGATCATGCCACAGATTGAGCGGCGGATTGAAATGGCACAGCCATCGGTCGCACAGATCTCGAGCACAAGAGACTCGACATCGAGCCTACATTCAGCGGGAGCTGAGAGGGAGGCCTCCTTGGGCCGTCCGCCCTATAGAGCTATCATCAACTTCCCATTAGACGTTTCAGATCGCGACGTCGCGGACCAAGGCAACGATTCACTTGCACGTACTGCATCCGGGGATGCCTGGACAAATAACCCTTCTCGGCCTCTTGAGGTGTCATATCGACTTGACGCCCAATCTACAGAAGAATCGGATTCTCGCCTTGCTGGAAATCATCAGCGTCAGAGCCAGACACTGAGATCAAGCGACTGTCATCGTTCTCGTGATTCAGTCCATGCCATGGTAGGAGGTTCCTTGGATGAGGATGGCAACAGGGAAGGATTCTTCGGCAACTCAAGTGCCGGGAACTTCATACAACATGTGAAGAAAATGGTTCAACAAAGGTCCGGGGGATTCGTGGTACCGTCTAGGAATCATGGGCGAGCAAAAACACTGCCTTCCTGGCATCATTTTCCTATACAACAAGACTCTCTGGACTATATTCTCCCTCCGCGCCGCAAAGCCGAGGCTCTCATCTCCCTTTATTGGAGACATATATATATTCTCTACCCCTATCTCGATAAAGGGCAAATCCAGGACGAATATGAGAGGCTCTGGCAGCTCGGTAGTTCCATTCCCGACGAGAGATCATTTCTTTGTCTGCTTAATGCAATCTTCGCCATTTCCAGCCAGATCGACCAATCAATACCGATTCAGGATCGGCAACAGTCCGCCAACGCGTTTTACTCACGATCAAGAGACCTACTTGACATCGTCGATATTGGGTCGGTCCGCTCTGTCCAGTCATTTCTTCTGCTTGGACAATATTTTCAGTCCACGTCGGAATCCCACCCCTGCTGGATCTTTACCGGTCTCGCCATCCGTACCGCACAGAGCCTAGGACTGCATCTTGCCGAGACCAGCGAACGCGCGATTGACATCAGAACCAGGGAGTTGTTACGCAAAGTGTGGCACGGCTGCGTCCTCATGGATAGGGTAGTTTCCATGCAGTATGGGCGGCCTTGTATGATTGGCGCCAAAGCGGCCCTGAAAGTGCCCCTACCTCTACCTGTCGATGAAGAACATCTCGGCGTTGGACGCCCTCGTGGCCGACAGACTTTTGTGGTAGAATTCTACGTTCTTTCACTCAAGCTGTATGAGATTTTACACGATGTCATCTACAGCTACAATTTCGAGGATGTTAGGACATATTGCACCACCGAACGAGACAAATCTTGCAGCTACCCAGATCGAGGCCAGCATTCGACATTCGAGGTTGAGATCGACCGGAGGCTTTCGAGATGGAAGGCCAGCATCCCAGATCACTTACTGGCTGGGTCAAAAGACAAACGAGGAATCACTGCCCCGGAAGCAGTTATATACCGTCAAGCTGTTGTTCTCCAGCAAAGGTAAGCCAAAGCATGACAGCTATCAATGATAACAGCAACTAATAGTTAACAAGACACCTCCATGTGCGACTGATGCTCTTTAGACCTGCCCTGTCGAACTTTATAACCTCTGAATTCGACAATACAAACAAACCGGATCTGCTCGACACCTTGCTCTCTCGCAAAATATACCTGCAATGCGCCATCATATGTGTCAAAGTCGCATTTGAATCCATCGATACACTCTACGAAGCGAGAAGTGGCCATGTCGACGAAGTCGATGGCTGTTAGGTATGGTGGTACAATGTCCTTTATCTGTACACCTCAGCAACAGTCCTCATTGCTGCCCGGCTCAGTCCTGCCATTCTCGCAGATATTTCAGAGCATTCAGTCCTAGACAGCTGGCACAAAGCTATCAACATGCTGGAGGACTATGGAAACTTCAGCGTGTCCATAAAGCGCTTGACGACGACATTGCGTCTGCTTTTCGAGGCCATGCCGTTGCAGTACTCCCGCTTCAGGGAGAATACTCGACAAGGGAATAATTCCTCCCTACCTCAAAATCAAAATGAAGCTGAACGTCAAGATCCGATACAAGGACAAGCTCCTATGGCATCTCCGCACGAGCGTACCACAATTCCAGTAGATTACCATCCACCAGAGCTAAATATCGATGTGGCGAGACTCCCTCACATTGACAGTGATAACCCAACTTTCGACCCATACCCGGATCTGGAGGTGGACTTTAATCCAAATGACCTGTCATGGCTCATGACTATTCCATTTGACGACTGAATCTCTTGTGTCCAACACAGAATTATCCCTAAATACCTTAGACTCTGCGGCGAGTTTTGGATTCAGTGCTCGAGCCACCACGATTCTGTGTGCACTTTAGGTATTTGAGTGTGAACACATCTCGAAGAGTATTCAAGTACGATGGGCAAAAGAAATAGTTTGCCCAATCCGCACCAATCCTTGAAGTCAACATCAAACGCCTACTCACGGTGCCATTATACTCGGTCAACGTCATATGAGAATCGAAATTTAGAGCGCATTTGTGAATCATAAATCTAAATAGTTATCACATATAATCTTTTGTACTAGGTATCTCCTCTTTACAGACTATTTTACTATACTACTTTCTTGAGCCTGACATGCGTTTGGACAGGTTGAATGATCATCCTGTCCACAGCTTGGAATGAGCTCAACTCCTGGGGGAGAGGCAGCAGCTCGAAGTTCCAAATCATCAGAACGAGGATGATTCGCATCTGCAGATAAGCCAAACGACGGCCGAAACAGGCGCGAGGACCGAGTCCAAAGGACAACTGTGGGCCAGCATGAGGGTTGAAGACCTCTTGTCCATCTTCACCCTTCACGAGCCATCTCTCGGGTAGGAACTTATCCATATTTGTCGGGTCCCAAGTTCCGACATCGTACTTGGCCTGCAAGCTGCTTGGACTGCGCACGGTATCGGGAACTGGAAGCGCTGGCGTGAAATAGCCTGGCCCCGTCTGCAGTAGCCATATATTAATACCCTTAGGAATCGTATAGCCCATAACCAGTACGTCAGTCATGGTAGTCCGAGGAATGCCGGGAAGCAAGCGTACTGTTCGCACCATCTCTTCGAGCGCTGCGTCAAGGTACGGAACTTGGATCAACGCGATTTCTTCCGCGGTTGGATTACGGCGAGCCTTGGTTGCAGCCGCATAAGCCGTCCGTAGCTTTAAACGAAGAGTTCCCTGAGCATCTTGAAAAACAGCGAAATGCTTTAAATCCCAGCAAAGCGTGGTGGAAGAGCTATCATGTCCTGCAATGATAAAGCCGAAGACCTTACGAATATTGTTAGATAATTAGTACAAATAGAGGACAGCGTAGATCAGAAGTCAAAGTGTAGAATATCATCATAATGGCGTACCTCATCGTAGATGCTTCGAGAATGGAAATTCAGTTGTCGTCCTTCTTTCTTTGACAGACTGAGTTCTCGCTGTAAGATATCACCCAAAGCCGAGCGTTCCGTACGGCTGTAGTCGCCTGAAAGAACTCGTTTGCCAACACTCTCTACCTCGTTACGAATAAACCATTCTGTCACGGCTCGTGCCCTTTGTAGACGAGGCGCCCATCGTAGTAGCCAGTGTCCTAAGCGAGGAAATGGCGCCTTAACAGCGGTTTCGAGAGATTCGGTGAGCTCTATGATAGCGTCAAAAATGGCTGGACGAGGGAACTGGGAAAATATGACGGTCTGTTCCATCGATTTGTCTATGTCACTACCAGGTGAATGCTTGAGAAGCTGTTGTAATTGCGAGGTGTTCGTATTGTTCCGAGCCTCGAGGCCAAAGGTCGCGGCGAATACGGTGTCGAGAGCAGCATTGTAAATATCGGTCGAAGCCTTGAATGGACGACCATCGGCTAATCGACATTTGAGATTCCATAAATCGACGAGGGTTTCAGCATTTCGGTAGACTTGGGGAGCTTCTACCTCGTTCAGGAACCCCGGTGTCATTAAATCTTTCAGCAGAGCTCGATTAGCCTTAAAATGGCTGTCGGTCGACTTCATATGTTGATGGAAATCGGGAAGTAACCCATCGAATATATCTCCAAGTATATCACTTCCGTCGAACTCTTTCGTCCGACGAAGGAGAATATCTTGGCTTTCCCGAAAATCCGATATGATCACCCATGGCTTGGACAGTGGGCGGGGGAAGACTTGTACTATGGGTGATTGGTGATCTGTCGTCTGTCGGGAAATCCAGGGCCATATTTGATTTGTTTCTTTAATATACGACAATATACTGGGGAGATCGCCAAGAATAGATCTCGATGCTGCCACATTGCATGGGATTCCACGGATTGGTCGCGGTAGAGCCCATCGATACAGCACCCATAGAGTGAGCAGACCCGTGACCGTAGCGCCCAGGGCCACCGTTGAAGTTCCCAAGGCTGATGGACCTGGCCAAAAAGACGACGGTGTCAACGACATCATGCGAATGCTTGAGACCGGGGTTTTCAGGGCTGGTGACACACACAATGTAGCACCCACCTTTGGTGACGCAGTCTCAGGCAAGCAACAGGTTAACAAGCATTCAAGGAGTAATTACCATACGCTTGGGACAGAAGAAGTATTTGTGCCTTTTCAAACTCTCTGGACTCTTTCCATCAGACATAAGCACGGAAGCAAGCAGATGTCTGTCACCAATCGACCAGCCTTTTGTGACTCGAATGGAGAGTTTGCCTCCGGCCATATTGCCGCTTGTGCCTAGTAGATATAACGGATGTGTACATGGTTGGGCTTGACCCCGATGCCGTTATTGGTCTTGAATTTTTCGATCCGGATGATTTACAGATTCCGCAGCTCTACGCTCTGCGGAGTTCTTGTCTCCGGGGCATTGCCGGTCAATGAGATCATTCGGCCTCATGGATCGGGGCCAATACAGAGGAGACGATTTCTAGACGCCGAGGAAGAACATGCGGATGTACCGAGACAATGTCGAGCACAGAAGAATCTGTTAGACTTTACTTTCTCACAGAGGGAGCTACTTGACGCTATACATCCCCAAATGCTCCAAGTGAGAAATTAGAAACAGGTGCCGACCAGAGGCTTATGCTGTACAGAATCACCCGCTTTTGAATAGTACTCGACTGCGCCTTCATGGAGGGGCACAGGTGTTTTGCCCATCTTTCCAGGATCAAGAGGATATGTGAGGGGACTCTTCTCCGGTCTCAAGTGCTTACAGTGGCGAGCAAAAATCCAAAAAATTGGCAATTTTGCCGAGGGCACAACAACAACACACCGCCATATGCGCGTATAGCAGTGTAGCCCTAGATAGGCCAGAACAGCGTAATTTATCTAGTAAATAGCTATTTTGTAGTACAGTAGCCTACATCGATATATCTACGCGACCTCGCCGTGAACCGACGCCTTCTCGCCGCCTCCTAGAGGCACGCGCCGCAGCCGTTATAACTAGGTCAAATCCGCCTATATCGACGCCAACCCCTCTAAGGATACTGTCTCCGACCTTAAGGGAGCTCGCGCTACCTACCCCAGTGCCACCTAGGCCAGGAACTACTGTTCTAGGCAGTACTAGCACAGCAGGTGGTAGTAGACCTAGTCAAACCCTTAGGTTAACATTTAACGCCTTAACCTGGGCGCGATCGCCTATGCCTAGCGCCGTAGCGCGCCAGCCTATGCCGCAGTTTAGTAGACTTACTACGGAGGAGGCGTAATCAGTTACTCTCTAGGCGCTTAGGGCGAGACCTACCACTAAGCGATCCTAGACCTCGCGGAGCTCGTAATGGCTATTTAAATCGCAGTTCCTTAAGGATAAGGATAAGTTTAACTTATCCTTAGATCTAGATAAGTTAAATAACTTAATATCTAGCCATTCTAGTCAGATATCGAAGCGGCCGCGGAGTAGTAGTATTATTATGGAGGAAGTTACGGAGGATATAGATATATCTATCCTATCCAAAATGTGGTTCATTAATGTATATAGATTAATGATTACTGCCCATACAAAATGTATGGCGAGGCTAACCCTAGCCTATCCAAAATGTAGTTCATTAATGTATATAGATTAATGATTACTACTTATACAAAATGTATAGTGAGGCTAACCCTAGCCTTAGTACGCTAACTTTACATTAATAATTGACTTTACATTATATTAATGATTAGTTCCCGGGCAATTACAGTTTTATACTTAGAGTATATTATAGTTAAGGCTAGTAGTTTACAAGTTACGCTATTTTAGCGATAATTAAACCCCGTAAATAGATAGAATCGTAGATTAAAAATCGACTATTTTATATAGGAAGAACATTAAAAAGTTTAGGGGTAAAAGGGGAACTTAAGGTTGAAAATAAGTTAGCCCTAACCCTAGGCTAAGATAAGGATTCTGAATTAGTATAGTAAGTGAGATTAGTTGATTTAGGAGTCGAGTGCGTATTTAGTACTATAGACAAGTAAGGGCGTTAGAGTAAATAATATAGGTTTACTATCGAGATTAAGTAGTTTTATAGTATAATAGAGTTATTAATCGAGTATTTATTTATAGCCCCAAGTTTACTAAAGTTATATTAAATTAATTTAATCGCTACTAAAGCTATATTAAGGTCGTCTATTAGATGATTTCTATTCGGAATATAATAGAGTATATTATTAACGAACCTATTTAGGTAGACGAATTATTTTAATATTCGTCTACTATCTAACTACCTATTTACTATTTATATCGATATACTATATAGCCTAAGAAGATTACTAGTTATTTATGACGTTATAAATATTAATTACGGTCCTAAGATACTTAGTATATATAGAATTAAGTTTTAGGATAGCCCGATTTATAGTAGGATCGTAATATTATATATATAATATACTAGAGGATTCGCGACCTAATTCCTAAGTTAGATATTTTTAAGGATAGGTAATTATATAATAGTCTAACTAGAGGATATCGGTACGTATATTGCGATAAAGAGAGTATAAAGGTTTATTAAGCTTAAGACTATCCCGGATAGCGAGGTAAGGCTAGTATGTTATATATCGGTTAACGAACCTATTCTAATATATAACTATAGAAGCCCGTTTAGTGCTAGTAAATATTTCCCCGTCGCTAAGGGTCCTAGTATTTTGAGATTTACGCCCCTAAGTAGCCTAAAGAAGCACCCCCTAAACTATTATCGCTACCTACTAAGATTAAGTAAGTACGATAGATATTATAGTAACATATAAAGAAGATTAAGGACCAAGAATAACGGATTATTAAGGAAGGGGCCGCTAAGGAGCCTAGCCTATAGTTAGAACGAATTAGGTAAGCTTAGTATTTATATAAATTAGACTATAATAAGTTATTATAGAGTATTACTATACTAGAGATAGATCTAGAACCCGTTAGTTAAGTGATATAGGAAGCGATAGATAAGATAATATAATAATATTAAGTTACTATTAGGGCGTATACTAGAGTATTTATATATAAGGAGATAATGTAGACTAAAGAAGATTAAAGTCGATTTATACTATTAAAAGGATACTAAAATCCGGAAGAGATTTAGGATAAAGGTTAATATTAGTAGTAGATTATTATATTTTTCGTTTATACGTAGTAGTTATATTTATAGAAGAGTCCTAAATATATATTAAAGTATTATTAATAGTAAGCGTTTTAGTAATTAATATAGGAGGCCTAATAGGATATCGAGAGGAGTAAGTTATAGTATAAGGAGAGTGAGTATATTATAGTAGTAGTTAGTAAGTATATAAGTAACGTCAAGATTAAATCGCTAGATAAGAGGAGTAGTAATAGCGAGGATAATATAGAACTATAGTATCCCTAAGGATTTATCCTATTAGAGAGTACTTAATGAGTATATTTAGTATTTTATATTTCGTTATTATACTAGAAAGTCTACTAATATAAATACGAATATATATTAGTATACGCATTAGCTATATTAGGTGTTAATATATATAGATAGAAAGGATATAATATATATCTACCTATTTTATCTAGTATAATTAAAATCGCCTAGTTAATGATGATTTAGTATACGTTCTAAGAAACTACTCTAGACTCTAATAGCGCCTATAGCGATAGCGATAGCGATGATTTAACCCTTAGTACGAATAATAGTGAAGACGATAGCTATAGTCACGATAAGTATAACTATCTATTTAGTCTAGAGCCTAAGTAAGTGGGATATATTAACGTAGTTTAGTATATAGTAGACTAATTTATATTACGTACTAGCTATAGTCTTATAGAATAGATATTAGATTTACGTATATATAGCATAAAGATTCAGTTTAGTAGTACGGTATCTAGTTTTATTAATTAGTATAGTAATTAAATTATATATAAAGACATCTAGTTCACTATAAGCTAGTTTCGTAGGATAGTATACTAAATTATATATAATACTCGTAAGTAATTATTATATTATATATTAGACATTAGTCCCTACTAAGAGTATAAATTATCTACTATTCTATAGGATAAATTATATAATAATCCCGCTAACGTATAATCTAGTTAGAATTTTATATAGGATTATTAGAACCTATAGTCTATAAATAATAAATAGTGATTATTCGATTAATTAATAAAGAGTAATTAATATTAATTTTTATAGGATAGAGATAATATATAATAGAATGTTAAAGAGGTATAGAGATAGTTAAGTAAGGAAGATACCGTCTAAGAAGAGTTATTATTATTAAAGTAGTTCGTTAGAGGAGGACCTTAATAGATACCTAAGTTATTAAGTATTTATTATAGTAACACTAACTATAGTAGATATTATAATATTAGTATTAAGAGTAGATTAGTATTTACTACTACCTAGTACTATAAAGGGTATAGTATAAGTAGTAACGTAAAGATTATTCATTAGTATATACTATATAAGATAGGGGAACTAGATATATTATAGATATAGTTAGTATTACTATTACGCTAACGCATTAAAGTTAAGATATACTACCGTAAGAGTTAAACGAGTTTTATTTAGCCGCGCTAGAGTCCTAGTAGATATATATTTACCCCTAGTCGATTACGGGAGGGATTAAAGCGAGTTAATATAGTCTACTTAGGCTAGGCGTTAAACATCTAAATATAACGTAGGTGCATAGCGAGTCGGCCTGCATAGCGAGTCAGCCACCTAACCACCACCGTACGACAATCTAATTCAATTACACCACTAACCTAAGATAAATTCACTCAATCTACTCAGAACTAGATACATTAGACATTTCTTTATCCTCTTAATATATATATGCATTATACCTAGACTTTCTGTAGGTACTATATCGTCGTTAAGTTAGCTCACCCCCTCTCGTATAACCACTACTTATACGCTTTTCTTACTCCACCTACTTATCTATATCCCTCTAGTTAATCATATCCTACGCGTCTCGTATAGTAAGTGATCCTCCTTATTAGATCCGTATCCTTTTCTCTCTACGACGCTTACTTAGCG